TATATATATATAGATGCTTACATATTATATTTGTTGAAAATCATGATCTAAATACGATAGATAATCATAGATATTAAAAGATAATCAATTACATTTCACATATGATCGATAATATATAATCAAACTTATTAAGTATGTCTAATTATTGATAAATATAACTTACTAATTGAAGAGATAAAATTTATTGAAAATAAAATTATTAGTTCGTTTAAATGGTGGTCATCATTAGATTTTGCACCAATCAAAAATGATAGAATCAATTTCCACCAATGAAAAATGAAAGAATCATTTTCCACCAATGAAAAATGAAAGAATCATTTTCAACCAATGAAAAAGAATTTTATTACTCGATGGCACTACGATCGATCTGAATTTTAATCTACCAATACACATACAAAATAATAAAATATTTTTATCATAAAAAACATTGATAATATAACAATATAGCATAATTTAAATATTTTTCATTTTTTCTACTATTTCTGTCTACTAACCTAGAAATTATATTCTAAATAACAATGTTTTGTAATGCATTATAAAGTAACCTTAATGAATTTAGCTTTAAACTGCGCAAACGCATGCTGTTAGAACAGTATCATTGATTTGTCTTAAGTATTAGATATTAAGTCTGTTAAATAATTGTAATATAAAGTTATTAACCGAAAATTATATATTGAAAAGAAATTTAAAAAGAAATGTCACTTTGCTTCGTATTTATTTAATATTATATATTTAATAAAATCATTGCAACATGTTGGTTACAAGTGCAATCTCAATGTTAGTATCTTTTGGTTATTTCTTTTATTGTAAGATAATAATTTTAGAAATGAATTAAATATTTATATTTTATTTACCCATTAAAGACAAAAAATAATAAACTATAATTATACCAATGTAACAATTTCAATTAATATTTTTTATATTTATTTTTATTACTGCAGCATATAGTAATCATTTATACATTTAATCATTCTAATATTTTATTATATATTTATTAATTTATAATGATATTTTTATAGAGGAATTAAGTTCCGAACAGCAGTACTAACTCCAAGGTTATGTACTTCAATTAAAATGTATTCTACCTCAACTGGATCATCATCCGGATCATCATCCGGATCATCATCTGGATCATCATCTGGATCATCATCCGAATCATCATCCGATTCATCTGATTCCGATTCTGATACAGAAAATCCAAAGAAAATTGAACCAGTTAAAACAGCTTCCGCAACAGAATTGGATATGCTTGTAGATAACTTAATATCGGTAAATAAGAAATAAAAGTAATCAAATTATTTCAAAATAATTAAATCAAATTGAAGATCATGTTTACAACAAGTTTGCATTATATTTAGTTGAAAGATAAAAAAAGAATAGATGTTTCAATGCCTGCAAGAAAAATAATTAAACAGGATAAACCACCTATACAAAAAAATGTATCACATGGTTAGTAGAATAGTATCTGTAATAAGATTTATTTTTTCTGCTGAGTTTATGTATGCTTCTTAATTTTAAATTTTAGAAAAACAACTTTCACAAGCTGTCCATAATATAACTGATAAGCTTAGCAAAAATAAAGAAGAAATAAAAACACAATTATTAGATAGGTTAACCAGTATGTCCAAAAACAATTCCAAAATTCCTATAAATTTCAGGTTTGTAAAATATATAATTTCACTTTTATTTTGTCAATTTGTAATTTTTTAATAATCAAAATAATATTATCTATGTTTATTATTTATCTTGCGTGATTAAAATTAAATTAATTGATTTTCATTTTCGTTTATATATTTTTAGTAAAAATATGGAAAACATCGTATTAAATCGTAAGTCTTCATTTTCTCAAGAAAGTGAAAATGTTCCTAACGATAAACAATGGAAATACAAAGCCGATATTGCACGTAAGTTAAATTCTAATTATAAACTCAAGCAACAAGAAAAAAAGGAAGAATCAGGTCATATTTGGGAATTATTGAAAAATGATAAAAACAAACAAAATCAGGCTAGAAGGAAACAGAAAGAAACAAAATTGAAAGCTGATGAAAGTAGAAGAAGAATTTTTAATAAAATAGAGGAACCTACGACAACTATACCAGAATTATCTATGTGGGATTTCTTCGAGAAAAGAGAACTTGATTTAATTGTCGATCAACCTTCCAAAAATATATTTCAAGAAATGATACAGTGGACTGAATCAGGAAAATTATGGAAATTTCCTATCGACAATGAGATTGGTAAGGCATAGGCTCATATTTTGATATAATCCAATAATCTTATTCCTATGTTCTAATAAAATGATAATTTCAGGAATGGAAGAAGAAAGTAATGTGCACTTCACTGAACATGTATTTCTAGAACGTCATTTAAAAGATTGGTGTCCTACGACTGGCCCAATACGTCATTTTATGGAACTTGTATGTGTTGGTCTTTCAAAAAATCCATATATGACTGTACAAGAAAAAACTGATCATATTGCATGGTACAAAGAATATTTCAAAGAAAAAAAAGAAATATTATTAGAATTAGGTGCTATTAAAACAACATCCGATACAACGAAACAAATAACATCTTAAATAGTAATAAATTTATGTATCTTTATCAAACAGTGATATTTTATCTTTGTATTATATATGATTTGCATCTATGCATCTAGATTATACGCATATTTTATATTCTACTTTTTTCTTATTTATAAATATATTCAAAATTGACATGAAATAAAGAGAGTACGACTAAATAAATCATTCAATGTACGTGACTTAATTATTGTCAACAACAACAACAAAAAAAACGAAAATTCTACAAAATATTAAATTATTACTTCCCCCGTGCATATTAATATAAATACATTTTCTTTTTATTAAAAAAAAAATACAATTAAGAAAGAAACATATATAACTATTTCAAATGAAATGACTAATATTGTATTAATCTTATCTATACCAATTATAAATAAGATAAATTTACTAATTTTACAATTATTTTTACCATATTTATATATATATATATATGTATTTTGTTTAATAAAAAAAAAAAAAAATAAAATACCTTTATATAACGTATAAAAATATAAAATGTACAATATGAATAATTTGAAAAGAAATAAAAAAGAAAAGATATATAAAATGTAACACACTATAATCGTATTGACAAATATTTTCTAATGCTGTATAATAATAGAGAGAAAAAGAAAAAAAGATTTCTTTTCAAATAAATTCAATTATTCTTTCGTATATACACGTAGATATAGATTTATAAATATACTTCTGAAATTAATTTAAAACGAGCGCAAATGTGAAGTTACTGAAATGCACGTAGCCATATAAATACAGACACATACAAATACACACACACAACACACATAAATATATGCATACAAAAACAAGGTATGCATGTAAATACGTATGTGTACCAATCAGATCTCCTCATCTCATACTCTTCTTCTTCCCAGGCTTTGGCAGTCTGTGGTAAGACTTGCAACCCAGTCATTCGCTGACGTCACTTCAAAGTATATTTATATAATTTCTCGAACTTTGAACTCATTTAATACTTTTGTGACTGTATGTATATTACATTTATAACACGAATACATATATATATATATTTATATATGTATATATATATATATAAATATAAGTTACACGTATATAATTTAATCACTTACTTAAAATTGTTATTTTGTTTCGGGACACGTTTGCTGAGCGTCCATACGTAAAAATTAAAATCGGGAACGCACGATGGCGAATTGAGTTTTACGTGGTTGTAAAGTACCGGTACTTTTGGTGAAATCATCGAAAAAATTTGTACAAATCTCAAAGTGTATAAAAAAAAAAAAATTCACGTTTTAAAATTAATAATATATTCTACATTGATTTCAATCTTCAAGTTTGACAATTCAATTTTTTGCCAACGTACTTTTTGACCGAACAAGGTTCTGTTTGTTTTTTTTTCTCTCTCTCTCTCTCTCTTTCTCTCGTTTTTTCTTTTCTTAACTTTTTGTTTTAACAGTGATTCGTAATATTGTTGCGTGAACGTAACGATCTGGTCCGTGAATAAAAATTAGTATATTAATCTTACGTGTAACTAATTATTCGGAAATTCTACGTTTTACACATCCAGTATTATTCATTCGTAAGAAGAAAAAAAAAGTAACTTCATTTCTGCATATATATATATATATATATACATATTATATTCTATTTAAATGTATCTTTATATTTTTTCGAGCTTATTATTTAGTAATATTAATTATTTGACAAATATTGTTAGGTTATAATATTTCAATCTATGAAAAGTCAATTGTACATCGTTAAATGCACGAATTACGTCAGTTATCGATTGTTTTTAAAATATTTTTTATTTATTGCGCAGTTTGTTTGATGATTAAGGACACGTATCTGAAATATTTTTGTTCTTTTGCTCTAAAAAGTGATATCAATTAAAATACACAATCGTATTTCTATAAGTACATATTTGTAATAAACTAAATTGGTAATTATAACGTATCTCTTGTAATTAACAAATAATCATTTTGAATATTTTTTTTTTTACAGATACATATATTCACTTATATATACATATATACACATATAAATATATATATATATATATACCAAGAAGAAATATGAGTTTGCAGTGGACACTGGTTGCTATTTTCTTATATTTAGAAATAATATTTACATTATTGCTAGTATTACCTATACTATCTCCAACAAGATGGCAGAAATTTTTCAAATCGCGCTTTGCACAAAGTTTAAATTATCAATCGTCAACTTTTTTCTATATCCTAATTGCCATATTAATTCTATTTTGGTTGGATTCTCTTAAAGATATATATAAATACAATACTGTTGGAAGCCGTGCTGGAGAACATGCTCATTTAGATGCAGAAATGCAAGGTAAATGATAATTCATTTAAAAAAAATTCATTTTGTTATATTAACTATGCACACACATACGATAAGAGCCGTTCACAGATCAAAACGATTCAATTCATTTTAAGAATATTTTAAAATTATTACTATCTATACATCACTTCATCTATACATAATTTTTTGTATTTTAATGTGTTCAATAATAAATGCTACGTCAATGTATATTACTTTAATAACCCTTAAAGTGCACATGGGGTGTTTGACACCCCAACAAATTTTGGATCTCTCTAAAACGCTACTGAATTCGAAAAAATGGGTTATTTGTCGACATCTAATGTTAATTCAGATGGGTATAAAACCTATTCTATTTTAAAAAAGATGTATCAAACTACTTTGAAAAAAATTGCGAGATCTAAATATTAAATAGCGGCTTTAGGAGACGTTGGGGTATCAAACACCCACAGTACACTTTAACTAACTTTTACCAAGTGTGTGCACTTTAAAGGATAATCTTCTATACTTTCTCTTTTGTGAATTTATATATTGCATATATTGTATGTTTATATTTTTCTAATATTTATTTTATTTCAACAGGAAACATGAAACTTTTCCGAGCGCAAAGAAACTGTTACATATCAGGATTTTCATTATTTTTGACTGTAGTTATATATCGTCTTGTAAAATTAATCTCTTCGCAAGCTACGCTATTAGCTCAAAGTGAAGCTGCTATGAGACAAGCTCAATCTGCTACGACCACAGCTAGAAGTTTACTTTCTCAAAAACCAAGCGGTGAAAGCGCTCAAAATGATTCTAATGAAGCACACGATAAAGCCGTTTCAGAATTGAAAAATCAAATCAAAGAATTGCAAGCTAAAAAGCTTGAACTTGAAACTGAATTAACAAGAGAGAAAAAAGATAAAGAAGCTATCAAATCTCAAGCTGATTCTTTAGCAAAAGAATATGATCGTTTGAGTGCCGAACATGCTAAAAGTTTACAATCGAGTGGAGATAAAAAAAGTGATTAAGTTGTTGCCTTCCTTTTTTCTCTCCACCAAAATAAAAATAAAAATAATAATAATAATATTTATGTAAAAAATAATGAATTATATGCCTTTGGCGTTGATTATTACCACCAACGCCAAAGGCATATAATTCTTTATTTTTTACATCAACGCCAAAGGCATATAATTCATTATTTTTTACATAAATATTTTTCATTAATATTCTATCCAACATAACGTTACATTATTTTTAATAATACTAAAACAATTATTATAATTTATTTATATTGTTTACAAAAAATCCTGTATATACGACGTATTATTGCAAATGTAATATGTGTATCGCAAATACATTGTTATATTAAATTTGGTTGTTTGCTTTAGGAAGTGATCAATATTTTTAATGTATTCTTTTTTTTTTTTTTTAATTTTTTTCCCAATCCCCATCCCCCTTTGTCACAAGTTTGTTGATCATAATTATTATACAAATATGCATTTAAGAATCAAATTTTATGTATAGAGTCTTAAGAAAAACAAACTCTTTCCTANCGTATTATTGCAAATGTAATATGTGTATCGCAAATACATTGTTATATTAAATTTGGTTGTTTGCTTTAGGAAGTGATCAATATTTTTAATGTATTCTTTTTTTTTTTTTTTAACTAATTTTTCCTTTTGTTATTGGCAATTGTCACAAGTTTGTTGATCATAATTATTATACAAATATGCATTTAAGAATCAAATTTTATGTATAGAGTCTTAAGAAAAACAAACTCTTTCCTATATACATATTATAGATAGTATATTCTATTTTAATTAAGTATATTCTAACAATTAAAGAAGAGTAATGCATAACTCATAAAAAACTATTAAATATATACTTTATATTCATTATTTTTCAATTATAGTTGAAATTGTTTACGTTATATATATATTATATAATATATAAATGGCACAAAATTTGCTTCATTAATATAAGATTTTAAACTTGTATTTCATTAAACCTTTAAACATTTTATTTTTTTTTTTTAATGTCTGTTATATTATATTAAATGTAAGTGAGATTTGAAATTATGAAATATTTATAAATAGCACATAATTTATTGTTCATAAAATATGAAATCCTACTAAAGCACAATAATTTTATTAAACAACTAATAACAAGAATTTAATGTGTTAGCGGGTTGTAATTAAATTCATTCGACGTTGATCCACGCAGTTAGAAAATTCTTCTACTAAATTAGAACACTTCAATGTTTCCTTAGGATGGTCTTGATAACATTTCAATACTTTTTCTTTACCTGCAGCACACAGCTGTTCATTGTCGAGATTATTTGTCGCTTTTTGTCCTATTAACGAACATAAATATAAATATACACATATAAACATTAATATTCATGAAATCAAATTTATTTTCATAAATTAATGTAGTATATGAAAGATTTTTATTTTAAATAAATCCTAAGAGATATTATTTGTTAATCACTTGACATACAAATCAAATACGCGACGTTTTATTTTAAAATTTACATTGATTTATAAAATTCAATAAGGTTGATAAATAATTAAGTAATACTATAAAATAATAATTGAATAATTTTGTAACGTGTGATACTTCATAAAGCAGAAACAGCCGAAAACAGTTGTTGACATTTTGAAGACGTCAAAGTCTACAATGGCACATGAAATAAATGACGTTTTCGAGACGTCATTGTATGTCAAGTGGTTAATATGTTAAGAAATAATACAATGATATTTTAACACAAGAAATGTTGAATTAACTTTTATAATTTCAAAGATTATATTCAATTTTAATTATTAATTCATGAAAATAACCAGTGGTATAATTATAAGTATAAAAAGGAAAATGTATAAGGATACAAATAATATATTAATAATGTAATGTTATTCTATTGATATTAAATGTAAGATACTTAGAAAAAAAAGAGCTATTCGGCTAAGATCAAAATATTGATTTCATTTATTACTTTACCTTTTTCTATCGGATAAAATTCATTGACAGTTCTTTTATATTCTTCTTCTAATAGTATATCTATCATCGAGTGCTTATTTTCCATATTTTTTAAGCGTTTTTGCCAATAATCATTTTGAGCACGGAGTTCTTTTTCTTTCTGATGTTGCATTTCAAGAGCAGATAATGTTAACTCTGGATAATAATATGCTGAATATACAGAAGGTGTTTCTCCAATATTTTTCTGTGGCAATGGTGATGATTGAGGAACTGCGTTGGAAGGAGTTGGTTGTGGTGGTGGTGGTGCTGGTGTTGGAGTAAATGAGTTTACTTCTTTAACAGTTTGATTGGAATTTTTGTTGACACCTTGGGCTAAACGTTCTACAACTGCGCTAGATACTTTAATCACTCCTACCTCTTCTTCATTGGATATAGTTAGACTACGAGTGCTTTGCTCAGATCCCATTTTTAATAATTCCTTCAAGAGATTTTTAATGTATTACCTTAAATTTAATAAACATAACATGATTAATTTTATATTATTCATTAACGAATATTTCAATTCAATTCGTAATTGTTTAAAAATTATTTCATACTTTTTTCCCCCCCTACCTCTGGTATATTTAATTCACGTAGATTTAAGACTTTTTCATTTACATATTACATTGAAGTTACATAAACACTATAATGTACAATCTTTTCGATTCATGAAAGAAAATGACTACTAAAGAAGGATAACAAAATTTTATATTATAACTAAGAATACAGTCTTTTTAGAAACAACCCGTACAATCTTAAATACCGCTTTGCGCTCCATCTACAGGAATATTTCGATAACTGTCTAATCAATTTATTCACACTATTATTATTCTTTTTAATTTAAATGTTGTTTTTTTTTTTTATAAACTGTTTTTTTCTTTCTATTTCATCATAAAATTCGATATTAACTTGTATATAAATATGTAGAAAATTGTTATTACGTTTTAAAATCAATCGTGTTATCATTTGCAAAAGTTATTCTGTTAATTTTGATTATTACTTTATTATATTAATGCATTGTAAAGTTAAGTAAGTTTCATATTTAGTAATAAAGATAATAAATTTAGATAATAAAGATAAGTATAATTTCAATAACTTGAAATCAACAAATATTAATCTCAAAATAAAAATGAACAATGTGTCAAGGATTTTCTAAGATGTTCTATTTATTACGATATTCCAAGCAAGAGTTGATAATCATTTAAATTAATCTCTTATCGATTATTGAATAATAATGATAGATAAAGCAATGTGTACGTCATATTGGGAATACAAATTTATTTAAACAAATCAAATTTCAATACAGGTATGTATCTTTAATGTCACATGAGATATTTAAATAGTTGACATTTATATAAATATTTTGTAAAATTTATCCAAATTACTATCAGTAAAAATTGTGAAATATCCCTTCTACTAAAATTTATTATTACTTATCTTATGACTTGACTAATATAACCTTGACTAATAGATTTCTCATTTTTTTGTTTTTCTAATAGAAAGCAAGCAGTATTATAATGAATGTTATTTCTCCAACAACTTCAAGTAACACTTATTGAATATATTTTTATATAAAGAGAAGAATTTTATTGATATAAAATAAAAATAAGAGAGTATATAGATACCAGGTTAAATAATTGCTCAAAAATGGCTCAAAGTGCTTCTCTTTTAACACGTATAATGGCTACATCTACATTGGCTGCAGCACGTGCAGGAAAAATAATTCGTGATGTTATGGATCAAGGAAAATTGAAAATTGTAGAAAAGGGTAAAAATGATTTACAAACTGAAGCTGATCGTTGCGCACAGAAATGTATTATAACTTCCTTAAGTCGATTATTTCCAAACATCACTATTATTGGAGAAGAAGAACCAAATAATAGTGAAATACCACCTGATTGGATTGTTACTGATGTAGATGAAGATATGTTGAAATTAAAATTACCATCACATCTTGAGAACATAGATCCAAAAGATATATGTGTTTGGGTAGATCCATTAGATGGTAATATTTATCAATAATTAATCTTTCTATTGATCATTAAGAAAATTAATAAAAATTAAATTAAAAATCATTGTTATATTTTAAATAATTCTTTTCAGGAACATCTGAATATACACAAGGACTTGTAGAACATGTCACAGTATTGGTAGGAGTGGCGATTAAAGAGAAAGCAGTTGGAGGTGTGATCCATCAACCATATTATAAGGATAAAATAAAAGGTGAATTGGGTCGTACATTATGGGGAATTGATGGAGTAGGATATGGTGGATTTGAACAAAGTGCACCTCCCTCTGGAAAAAGATTCATTACAACAACACGGTAAAATTATTTTGAACAAAAAATTAATTACACAAATTATTTAAAATCAACAATAATATTTACGATGGTGGTTATTTTAGTTCACACTCGAATACAAATGTTCAAGCTGCTATAAATGCTTTGAAACCAGATGAAGTTATTCGTGTGGGTGGTGCAGGTTATAAAGTAAGTTATTCTTATTCTGTAATGTTGACGTTTGTAATATTTTGAATCGATTTTTAACTTTTGCCATATTTATAGGTAATTCTTCTTTTGGAAGGGAAAGCACATGCTTATGTATTTGCTAGTCAAGGTTGTAAGAAATGGGATACATGCGCACCTGAAGCAGTGTTGCATGCATGTGGGGGAACTTTAACTGATTTCTATGGAGAAAAATATGCGTATCATCCAGAAACAATATATCCAAATTTAAGAGGTGTTTTAGCTACTGCTCCTGCCGAAAAACATCAATGGTATTTAAATCAAATACCAGAAGAAGTCAAAGAAAATTTAGAAAAACGCAAGTAATTCATTTTATTATTGTATATTTTTCATATCATTCCTCAATGAATTAGTGATTTATTTATTATATATTAATTAATAATTTATAATATATTTCTTTTCTATATTAGAAAAGTTATTTATGATGTATTATAGATATATATATTTTAATTGCAAAACAATAAATCTATGAATGAATTATGTATGTTCATAACTGTTATATCAAATTTTAAATGTAAAAAATTTGTGAAAAGTAATTTACATTTTTTTTAATATTAGTAATATTTATTATTATGGTAATTAGTTGAAAAATTGATTAAAACTGTATAAGATGTAGATAATAATGATTAATTGAAATAGATAATAATATGATTAATATTGGTAAAAAAAAAAGAAGATACTTATGCAATTTGTATTTATGCAACTAAAACAATTGTCTTACAATAATGTCAATCTATTACATAATTTGATATAAAAATGTATAAATTGTACTTTGTTGAGATTTCAAAATAAAAAAAAACCACAAAATTATTTAAATATAATAAATAAATGTTATCACGTAGTTATAACATGTATGTGATAATACTATTATTATATTTCATAAAAATTGTAAATTTTTTAAAGTATTTTTAAAAATATTATATTAAAGATTATTCCCTTTGTCAAAAATAAAAGATTTGGTCTTTTATAATTTAGACTTTAACATATCACGTAATTCTCGGCGTAATATTTTCCCAGATGGAGTTTTTGGAATATTTTTAACAAATTTAACGCCTCCTCTAAGTTTTTTATGATTTGATACTTTTTCTAAAACAGATAATGATATAATAGTTATGTAAACAGAACAATTATTTTTTTTTTTTTAAATCTGATTGAAAAATGCTGAATAGCCAAATAGCGCTCTTTTATATTAGAAGAAAATACTCCGAACATGTAATTACTTTTGACTTAACAAACATTATATGTTAGCACTTTTAGATTATGAATAAAAAAAAAAAAGTACGATCACGCTATTTGACGCTCAAACGATTAAGTCATATTATTAATATTACCATTAACATATTGAATTATTTCATCTTTCGTTATTTTACTTCGTTCTTGCTTAACTACAAAAGCAAGTGGCAATTCTCCTGCTTCTTCATTTGGTAATCCAATAACAGCAGCATCTTTGATTCCAGCACAATTTAATAAAATTGCTTCTAATTCTGCTGGAGGTACTTGGAATCCTTTGTATTTGATAAGTTCTTTTATTCGATCGACTATATAAAAATATCCATCTTCGTCGTAATATCCTACATCCCCTGTATGAAACCAACCATCTTTATCGATAGCTATATTTGTTGAATTAGTGTCATTGCAATAGCCTTTCATTATTAGATCTCCTTTGAAACACAATTCTCCTTTGCAATTAGGCCCCAATGCTTTACCTGAGTTAGGCTCATCAATAGATATTACCTTCGCTAAAAACAATGTTTGATTAAGTCTTATTAAATGAGACCTAATGAATTGAATGAAATTTCACTAAATGTTTACCTAAAGTATCAGGAGCCACTACTCCTACACTACCGAACTTGCAATTAGATGGTGATCGTAATACTGCCATAGTTGTTTCTGTTAATCCATAACCTTGTTTTATATTAGGAATATTTAATCTTTTTGCTACTGCTTCCTGAATATCTTCTGATAAAGAAGCTGCTCCACACCTATAAATATAATTATGTAAGAATTCCTGATTCATAAGATAGCACTATGACTTGTAAGAAATTCTACAGGAAAATTGAAAAGGGGTCATATTTGAACTGATGTGGTAGATTTACATTTATATCTTTTATATTTACCATATTGTTTTTATACTGGAGAGGTCATATCGACTAACGATAGGGTGTTTTGCCAAAAACACCATAAGCGGTGGAACTAAAGTTAAGGTTTCAATTTTGTATTTTTCTATTGCATGTAAAAATAATTTCTCATCAAAACGTGAAAGTATTATGCTTTTGGTACCAATGATAAATCCAACAATTAACACAGAAAATGAATATGAATGAAAATATGGTAATAGATGTAATAATACACCGTCTTTATGCAGTGAGTTCGCTTCGTTATCCTTCAAATGTTTTGCTACTATTAATAGATTTTTATTGGTCAACATAACTCCTTTCGGAAATCCTGTAGTTCCACTAGAGCACAATATTGCTGCTGTATTATTATTAATATCAAGTTTGCAGGCTTGAAAACTGTTTACTTCATTAACATCTACATCTGCTATTAAATCTTTCATATTAGGTAAATTATTACATTTAGAGCTAGTTAAAACAATTAATTTTGGTGGCAAAGGTAATTGTTTAATAACTTTTTTCAAAGTATTTAATGCTATCAAAGATGTAAAAATATATTTGGGCTTCAATATCGTCAATGCATGAGAGAACTCTCTCTCAACATACGTTGGGTTTATGGGACAAACTGTAATTCCTGTAAATAATGCAGCACAAACAGGAATGCAGAACTCTGTATTATTTTCACTACATATAGCTATATGGTCTCCTACTTGTAAACCTATTTTTCTAAAATATACTGCTAATTTTTTACTATTGTTTAATATTTGCATATATGTTTGTTGCTCTTCTGTATGTGCATTGATCTAGAGAGAGAAAAGAAAAAAAAAGAATATTTTTTATTTATTTAAACTATAAATTTTAATAATTTAAAGATTATTTACTTTATCATGAATGAACATTTATATACCTGAGCAACATTAGTTCCATGTACTTGCAATTGATTTAAAAGCAATTCTCCAAAACTATTTTGCATTGAATTATCTTTCGTAAAAGATGAAGGTCCACGTAATATATTCTTATCTTCTTCCATGTTATATAATGTATTTTTTATTATTAATTTATAATAGTTTACTACTTACTGAATTGTATAAATTATAAACACTATAATAATAAATAAATAATACATATATAAGAATTAGTATATAATTTATATTAATTAAGTTAAGTATAAGTTAGTTTATATTAACTCTATATATTTACCGATTTATACATCAAAAGTATAGATGCTGTTATTTAATTCAAGTCAGAAATGAAGCACGTAACGTTAAATTTCATCACGATATTAATTAAGCATAAATATCACGGTTAACTTCTTATCTACTTATTTGCATTATTTATTATCTGATGTAAATACAAAAGAAATTATGAATTTATAATAGAGTTATAACTCATTAGCTGTTTATTATTATTATTATTATTATTATTATTATTATTATTATTATTATTAATTAAAATTCGTATCTTATTTCTTTAAGATTCCTTTTAATATTGTCCTCCCTTCTATGTCTCGGTCTACCTAGTGGTCTTTTCCAATTTGGTATACCGACCAGTGTTTTATGCGCCGTTCAATCCTCTAATAAGTATGTTTAACTTAAACGTAAGAGAGAGTAAACTAACAATTATTAGAAAACTGGATAGTTAGGTGATTGTTTAATTTTCAAATATTTGTTGAAGAAAAATTAATCAATACATATTTTTAATTTATAATAAACTGAATAATAATGAAATTATCTTTTAATATTGTTTTATTAATAGAAAGATAAAATATAAGACATTTGTATTCTTGCAAATGTTTATAAAAACAATAATTTATATCAATTTTATTCTATACAAATCTCAATTGTTTTATTTTATTTATTATACAAATCGTATATTAAATGACGTCAAATAAGATTACTGCGTAATGATCAGTATCTCTGTGATCAGTATTGTCAATTTTTGACATCACATCAAAATTATTTTAAATAATGGGCGTGTTCGGCTGAATTAAATCCCTAGTAAACTTAGTAAGTTACTAAAAGTCCTGAGCTAAGTTTGAAATGCATTCAATTAGGGTGGCGCCACAGTACGTACAGTGTCAATTTTAAAAGAAGCGCCAAATATTATTAGAGTAGGATTGAGAAATAAACAAGAAACACAAATTTTACTCATAACTGTTTTGTTATTCACATACTTTTTCATAAAATTAAATGATAAAAAATCAATAAACGTACTATTCACAGTTCACGATAGACGGAGGTTAAAATACAGGAGAACAAACGATATAGGCAATTTGTAACATTATCTGTCCCCCAAAAACGTAAGAAATAACTAATACTTATTTTTACCACTAGGGCGGCATGACGATCAGTGTGATTATTGCTTGCCGTATGGAAGGAAGAGGCGCTAGTGTATCACGTCGGTACGCTAGGCGCGTATCGCTACAACAAAGTGGAATTTATTTATGTCCAGATGAAAATTAGATGACGTCTTTTGAAATAACTCTCCATTTCTTATCTAATATAACATTAACATTATTTATTTATTTTTCTTATATGCAATTTCATGTTTTCACATAGAAAAATCGTCTAGAGACGAATTCCCGGGGACACCATAGGGAATTTTCAGAAATTTTTCTTAAATCTCTAGGAGATGACATCACATTACGTATCTAGGAATTGTTGTATGTTTTTGGAGTTCTTCAACACAAACATATATAACGTATATGTTTAATTTCATGTAACGTTTATATTGGGGAGTACATCTCTCCAAGTAAACTAGTGTATGTTTTGTGTGTTGTGCGTATTGGAAGTTTAGTATTGTTTTTCTGTAGAGATTAATTAACAATAGGAAACAAAAATTCGACAGTTATATTCTGCTTTAAAATAATATTAATGACGATATGGGTGTCCCAGCATTTTTTCGATGGCTAAGCAAAAAATATCCTTCTGTAATAGTGGAGTGCATAGAACAAAAAGTAGGTTAAACAATATTATTGTTTTTCATATTTAACTCATTGTAATAACAATTTCCATATATATTAACATAATTTATTAAATAATTATTATTTATCTGTTGCTTGAAATTTGTTATATTTGCTAAAAAAAAAAAAAAAATAATGTTGAGAAATTGTTGACAAACTTTGTAGGTTATAATGTTCATTTATTGAGATGTTGTTTATTACTGTGTGTATGTTTATTTCTTCTTTATAAAATATTAGTTGAAGAGTTATAATTATTAATATTATATTTTTAATAACAGCCAATAAACTCAAATGGAGTAAATGTTCCTGTCAATACTGAAGATCCAAATCCAAATGGAGTGGAATTTGATAATCTGTATTTGGATATGAATGGAATCATTCATCCATGTACACATCCAGTAGATCAGTTAGTATATTATATTTAACATATATTATAATAATAATAATAATAATAATAATAATAATAATATATTATTAGCCCTCTGTAACTTTAGGTATAGTTTGACTTTACATTTTGCTCTAATGAGTCTTATGTTTGTTTATTTCAATTGTAAATATTTAATATAAGCATATTTATATATAAATATGTTATATTATTATATTTTAGAATTAAAATATTAAAATAATAGTAAATAATTTGATAATGATTAAAAGCAATCAATTTAATGGAGACTTGATGGAACAAAACAGCAATAATTACTTAAACCGCAAAGAATGAATATTCTTTTTATTTTATATAAATAATATTTGATATTTTATCACAGACCTGCTCCAAAGAATGAGGAAGAAATGATGGAGGCTATTTTTGAATGCATCGATCGCTTATTTCGCATTGTAAGACCCAGGAAATTACTTTATATGGCTATAGATGGAGTTGTAAGTTTTAACATATATATTTTAAATTAACAATTGTAAATTAATTAATATATTATGAAGGAATTTTCTACATAAATATTTGTTGTAACTAATTAAATGCGTTATCATTGTGAACAGGCACCGAGGGCTAAAATGAATCAGCAAAGATCACGTCGTTTTCGTGCATCCAAAGAAACAAGTGAAAAACTTAATGAAATAGAAAGAGTGCGTTCTGAATTAGCTTCAAAAGGAGCTATATTACCACCAGAAAAACCAAAGGAAGAGCACTTCGATAGTAATTGCATTACACCGGTTTGTAAAAGAATTAATCAAAATTTATTATACTTGATTAGTATACAATCTAATGACGTAAAGTAACTTTTTATTATAGGGTACACCATTTATGGCAAGGTTATCAAAATGCTTGCATCATTACATACATGATCGTTTGAATAATGATCCTGGTTGGAGAAATATAACGGTTATATTGAGTGATGCCAATGTTCCAGGAGAAGGAGAACATAAAATAATGGATTTTATTAGAAAACAAAGAGGTAAAATCATACTTTTAGATGATCGCATATAAATATTAAATCAAATGATAGATTGATTTGATAATTATTTCTTTTTTCAACAGCTCAACCCAACCATGATCCAAATACGCAGCATGTTTTATGCGGTGCTGACGCTGACTTAATTATGTTGGGTCTTGCCACACATGAACCTAATTTTACTATTATTCGTGAAGAATTTAAGCCGAATAAACCAAAACCATGTGATATATGTGGTCAGTTGGGACACGAAATGCAAGAATGTACTGGTGCTGAACCTAATCAAAAAGAAGAGGAGAATACATTTTCTGCTGAATGCCAATATATATTTGTGCGATTAAATGTTTTAAGAGAATATTTGGAGAAAGATTTGCAGATGCCCAATTTACCGTTTAAATATGATTTTGAACGTGCCGTAGACGATTGGGTTTTTATGTGTTTTTTTGTAGGAAATGATTTTTTACCTCATCTTCCGTCATTAGAAATTAGAGAAGGAGCCATTGATAGACTTGTAAATTTGTACAAAAAAGCTGTGTATAAAACAGGAGTAAGTGTAATATTTACTTTTTTTTTTTCTTAATTATTTTTATTATTTATTATTCTCAATATATATAATAGAGAAGGTACATATTATTAGTTTATAATTATTTATTAAATTTGTGTCTAAACGTTTTATGTTATTAATTAACAAAATTTCTATAAATAATTTTGAGAAAACAATTGTGGTAATAATTTGTTTATATAAATATAAAAAATATGTGTAATTAGTATACTTAATTCTAATATATTTAAAAAGCATTATTTGAGAGAAATTATTAAAAATTGCAGGGATTCATAACGGATAGTGGTGACGTTAACTTAGATAGAGTGCAGTTGATTATGTCTGAACTTGGTGAAGCAGAAGATGAAATTTTTAAGAAAAGACAACAAAATGAATTGGCTTTTAAACAACGTGAAAAAGATAAGAAAAAGAGATTAAAAGCACTTAGCAATTATAAACCAAAATGGATTCCTACAGGACAATTTGCACCTACGGTGAGTCTTATGTTTAATTCTTTATTTTGTTTCTTTTTTTTTTTTTCTTTAACATAAAATTAGAAATAATTTGTATTACGATTATTCTAGCCACTGGGTCAATCCAAACCAATTGAAAATGCACGTCATGAAGCTTATCAAATGCGTATGCAAAATAAAAATTATAGTACCAGTTCAACGGAAAATGCATCATTAAATCCAGTGCTTGAGATGATGCTTCGTCCTGAGGTTTATATTTATTTTTATATACACTTTTGATAAATTAATATGATTCATTTATTTGTCAAATCGATTAACGCCATTAAAAAAAGAAAGGAGAAAAGAAAAATTACAATTAAAATACATTGTCATATTATTTATTGTTAAACAGTCATATAAAATTGTATTATTTAATATTTTGAAGCTCTCTGTAAAAAGAGGATTATTTTAAATATGAAAAGTTAAGCATTGATCAAATGCTTTGGTAGTCAAAATGTTTAACCAAATTTTTCCTAAGTGGAGTTAATTGCTTTAATCTTTTTACAGTTTATATTGCTTACATTGATCATATTTTTTAAATGTATTATTTAATAGGGTAAGGGTAATACAAACAAACGCAAAACCGATGAATTAGTAGAAGATGATACAGACGAAGAAGAAGTAGTACATGATGAAGTTAGACTTTGGGAAGATGGTTTTAAGGATCGTTATTACGAATCTAAATTTGATGTATGTTCCGACAATCTTGCATTTAGGTAATCAAATAATTTTATTGATAATAGTTAATAATTTCAATTATAATAATATCCAAATGATAAACAGTAATGTAATATTATTTGTATTATTTTACAGAAACAATGTAGCCTTACAGTATGTACGCGGTTTATGTTGGGTTTTACGTTATTATTATCAAGGTTGCGCCTCTTGGAAATGGTATTTTCCATATCATTATGCACCTTTTGCTAGTGATTTTATTAACATTGGTGGACTTTCTACAGAATTTGAAAAAGATACTGTACCAGTAAGTATATACTCCTTTTTTTTTTTGAGTTATATTTATATATAGATAGAAAAATGTATATAATGTTGTATCGTTACAGTGTCGTCCTTTAGAACAGTTGATGGGTGTATTTCCAGCAGCTAGTAGTAAACACGTACCAGAACCATGGGCAAGATTAATGAACGATCCAGTAAGTATTAAATATTACACATACGACTTTGTGATACATAAATTATTACAATTTTTCTATAAAACAAATTTATCAATTTCAGAGATCTCCGATTATAGATTTTTATCCAGAAGATTTCAAGATTGATCTCAATGGAAAAAAATTTGCTTGGCAAGGAGTAGCTTTACTTCCATTCGTAGATGAAAAAAGACTGTTTAAGGCTTTAGAGCCTTATTATGACAGTTTAACAGAAGCAGAAAGTAAATAATTACATATTTGTAAAAATACAGGATATGATAAAAGATGTATCTACTATTAATGATAACAATTTGTTGCGTGTGTTTCTTATTTTTCTCAGAGAAACGAAACATACGTGGAGATGATCGACTATATGTTGGTTTGGGAAACAGTGGATATGATTTTATAAAAAATCTATATATGAATAAAGGGGGATTTGACGTTGAACATCCAGTGTATATAGATGGTATGAGAGGTAGAGTATTGTTAGCAGAAGATTGTATTGGAGACGGAGCTACTTTACTTTCTCCGATCAATGGATTACCAGTGAGAAATAATAAAGTATATTGGTAAGTTTTCTTCACAAAGTGTAGTATTTTCTTTTTTTTTTTTTTTTTTTTTTTTTTTTTTATAATTATATTTATCATTTTGAAATTATAATCTTTGTTTCATAACGTTATTTATTTTTCTGCAGTGTACGCTTCCGTGATCCAAAATACAAAAGTAGTTTTATTTTCTCTACAAAAAGATTGAAAGGTGTTATAGAGCCGCCGAAAGTTTTGAAACCTCAAGATTTCGATCAAATGAATCGTAACAATGGTAATCAATGGAGACCACAAATTGGTTTTACACCTTCTACACGTGTGGCATCTTTAAGTGAAGGTGGTCATCGTATGCTTGAGTAAGTTTCCTCTGCGATTGCAAATATTGATTATTTTAATCTTTCGTCGATTTATCGTTCGATTATATAAAATATGTATTTATTTTCTAATTTTTATTTTTTATTTTTTTTTACAGTCATCACGCAGGTTTTAATAGAGCACTTCCGATGTATGGACACGTACCACCACCTGTAAATGCGTATCAACAACATCGACACCAACACCACCAGCAGCACCATCATCAGCAGCATCATCATCAGCAGCAGCAGCAACAGCAACAACAGCAACAGCAGCAATACGGTAAGTTTGATTTCATTGCTTGATAATCATTAACGCATGGGCTTGGGTGGGTGCATACGTGTATACGTGTATGCGTGTGTGCGTGTGCATGTGTCACGGAAGTCCGAGAGTGCGTTGATACTCGTCGCGTCGAGTATTATTCGGTTTAACAATGTGCCGAGATTATCGGAGTAGAATGAAAATAGTACTTTATAAACGTCGAGTCGTTATAGATGAGCCACGTGTGTGTTTGTCTGCTGGGTGGGTAGTAGGAAGGAACCCTCATTGTTTTTTTCCCCTCTCTTCTTGTAGCTGTCGTCGTACTACTACCTACGATCATCTCTGCCCTCTTTTATTGTTTTACGTTTTGGCCCACCCCTCCTTTCTTTCTAACGTTTGACAAGGATGGGAGGGAGTTAGAGAGGGAGACGAATAAACCTTTATCGTTTAAACGATGATCCACATTTTTTCAGGAAATTTATTTGTTTTTTCTTTTTCTTTTTTTTTTTTTTAATAGTAAAAAGAAATACGAATCGATGAATCATGAATATATTGAAATAAGAAGAAGAAAAAGAAGAAGAAGAAGAATAAGAAAAAGAAGAAAAAGAAGAAGAAGAAGAGGAAGAAGAAGAAGATGAAGAAGATGATATACTTTAAAGTTGAGTTTCGTTTGGGGTAAAGCGCGTGCGCTCGCGCGCATCTCATCCGTTCGGAGAACAGGGCTGCTGGAAGGAGTGAAAAAGGGATGTTGCAAGGCCGAGGGGTTCTCGTTCTGGATTAGCTCAAAGGGTAGTTCGTCACGTAGAGCGTGACTCCGGCCGTTTCGTTGTTTGGCACGTCGAGTCAAGCAACGGTTGTCCCCGACTTTCGCCCAATTATAAAACAAACGCGGTGCACTCTGTAATTATCCAATTAGCGGATGTACCTCTCTTTCACCCTCATACCCTTCTGCGTCACGATCGTTGTCGTTCTTGTCGTTCTCGTCGTTCTCGTCGTTGTCGACGATTGCGTTCAACTGTACAAGTTCTATCCGCCGTTGGCAAAAGGGAAACAAATGCGGACAAACTCGTCATCGTCATTCACCATTCATTCACTTCTCTTATTTTCTCTTCTCGTCGTTATCGTTATCGTTATTGAAATACTTCTACAAATTCCATCAAAATAGTATTACACCTCTTCTTTCAAGACTATTTATTTGGTTCTTTTTCTCTCTTTTTCGAAGTAGTCCTTTTCTTTTTTTTTTTTCTTTTCACACCATCTGCATACTTTGAACGTATTTAAATATTTATTAGATCTATCTCTGTAAATTTAACCCTTAACGAACGAATGTGCTGTCATACTGGCGACATTTTCAATATTTTAAAATAATCTCATTGCCGGCATGACCTGATAATTTAGAAAATCTATGAAATTTTTGCATTAATTGTTACGGTTACAATGAAAAACGGTCGGCAATTGTTACTGGATGCATTTTTGAACGTTCCTTTTCAAGCATTAAGCGAGAAAACAATTTTTTAAACGTTCAATAAAGTCATTTTCTGACGAGATATGTAATTATTGTATTAAAAAACCCTGTGTTTCATATATGGGATTGTTAGAAAATGTACTAAAATATACAAAGTATAAGTAATTTTATACAGATTAAATGTAAATTCATAAAAAAAAAAAAAAAAATAGAAAAAATATATATCTATTGGTTTATTTCAAATCTGATTATTTTTCTTTAATTTTCAATTTAGTATCCATTTATATGGACACTAATTTGTCCATATACTACTTATTGCTATTAAAAATTTCAAAAAAAAAAAAAAATCCAATAAAGTAAAATTAATAATACACTTTTTCTTGGTCTAAAAATAAAGCACTAAATATCTTTAAAAATTCGTCAATTTACAAAAGTCATTATTTTAGTAAAAACTACGCTCATTCGTTAAGGGTAATATCTTTTATATATTTTTTTTTAGAAATCTCTGTTTACATTTTTAAATATATAATAAATTATTATATATATATGGTTTCTTTAACACAGTAGGATCTATAATCAATTAGTCAGCATGATTGATTTGAAGGATATTTATAGAAATAGTTTATTTCAAATGTCATTCTTTGCCTTATTTTTATTTTTTTTTCCAGATTTAATGTCTACTAATACAGACAATGTCGACAATCTTGATGAAAATTTTACTTGTTGTTTATTATTATAATTTTCTTTTCATTCAAAAGAAAAGTCATGATTTTTGTCATACGATTTGATATATATTTATTTTATGTATTTTGTGTGAACAAAATTTATACAAAATTTATACAAAATTTATACAAAATTTATACAAAATTTATACAAAATTAATACAATATTTATGCAACAAAATTTATACAACAAAATTTATATTATTTTATAATAAAAAATACTTTTTACCTTTTTGGCCAATTATTGTAAAAGAGAAAAAAAAAATATATATATATATATATCGATCGATCGATCGATCGATAAGTAATATAAATGATTTAAACGTAAAAATGTTTTCACAAAATTTTTAAAACCTTTTAAATATTAATTATTTGAACAATCTTTCAACGATGTCTATAATATGATTTAATATTTTATTCTGTGTTATTAGACGTTTTTAAATAATATTACAAAAGTAATCATTATTTTTTTTCAGAAAAATAATAGTTATTATCACGATATCATATCTTTGGTCACTTTCTTCCTTTCTCCCGCCCCCCTCCTCTTCCTCCTCCTCCTCCTCCTCCTCCCTCTTAACCCTGAAGAAGGGTGGTCGGCACGCGGCACTGTATCTGGCATTTACATCCCTCGGTAAATCAATCACGCACGCTTGCCCGCAACCGGTCTAACGTTTTGTTTTTACGTTAAAGTCCACCATATATATATATATAGGCACGCGCACGCGTGTCCTACAGTTCACGCCTCTTCGAAATGTCACAGTGTCAAGACCAAACTTCTCTCGTAATTCATCTTTCCACAAATTTGTCGGCCTTTGTATACTTTTCTTCGTCTTTTCTTCATTTTCTTTCTTATTTTTTTTATTTTCGAGACTTGAATTTCTTCGAAATTTGATGAATACTTAAAAAAAAAAAAAACACACACACACACACACATACACATAGGATCATCGAGGGATCATTTAACAAATATTTTGAAGGGATGATTATCAATGAATTTTAATATCATTTTTGTCTGGAAGGAAACGTTTGTGTTTATCGTTTTGAAAATTATGAAATGTTTATTATATGTGCATACTGATTGGTCAATTTTTCGTTATAGAAAATAGAATTCTCGTCTAACGAGGGTTTTCTTTGAAACATTAATTTTTTGAAATGTTTTAAGGGATTTTACAAATATTGTTTTAATATAACGCAATTTCTTGTACCGTTCTTGAGAATTCTTGGAGTTTTAACAATTAACACATTGAACTGAACCCCGGCCTCGATTTATTGCAAGGATTTATTTCTGCTTTTTTTTCTTTTTTTTTTACTTTTATATAAGCTTGTTTTGCGCATTGATGTTTTTTTTTTTTTTTTTTTTTTTGTCCCCGTCGTTTATATTTCTTTATGTATTTGTTTAACTTTTAATAAAATACAAATTATGATCGGACAAAAACTTAGGTCAACAGTTACTTTGCAATAATGTATTTAAAAGTTGGTACTTGTTATTGTCGTTGGACAATAAGTGGTGGTGACATTTAATGTGATTAATTTTTATTAAATTATTATTATTATTATTACATTGTTGCTATCATCGATATCGATTTGTTGTTTTGTTTGTTTCGTAATTATAAGTTTTTGCTTTATTTTTCTTTTTTCTTTTTTTTTCATTGTAAAAAACATCAATTGTTAATTACCTTGAGGAAAAAAAATAAAAAATGAACGAACGTTGTGTTATACGAGAAAAGTTTTCGTATTATGTGAATTGAAACACACAAAGCGTTATATATTAACCGGGTTATATATTGAGGTTTATAGTACAGGTATCCCTCCAACAACACGGTTTCTTTTAACACGGTTTCGCTATAACACGATTCACAAATTGCGGTAAATACTCCAACAACATGGTTTTGTTATAACATGATTTATAATTGTGGGAATCCTTCTACAAAACGGTATCCTATAAAACGGTTTTCTCTCAAAAAACCTTTTTGCAACACTGTACTTTTACAGCCGTGGCAAGGGGCTTACTGTCTTAAAGATACAATGTTGTAGAAAGTATTTCTTCTCATCTTCTTCATGGCCTGAAAACAAATGTGTTTCACACTGTTGTGAACTGAAAAACATCAACGTTAAATGTGTGTTGGAAGAAGACATGGTTCTCTTCAGTTAAAATAAAAAAACGTACGTGAATCGTCACAAAATGAAATTGGTTGTATATCAGAATTTGTTAAATCAATTGGAGACGAAGGTTTTGTGGAAATGAATATTGTGGAAGTTCAAGGTTTATTAGTGGAAGAAGAAATTGACGAAGCGGATTTGATGGAAATGGTGTCTGAAACTGTAAATCAAATTGATGTTTGAGGATCACTAGCACTGATGAAGATTGTCTTGTTAATAAGTTAACATTAAAAATATTACAAGAAGGCTTAAATTTAGTTGAAAATCTCGAATGATTTTTCTTGAATGTGCTAATCCTTTCAAAGAAAGGAACCGAAAATTCAAAAGGAAACATCAAAACTGTCTAACTGTATACCAAGAAATTTACAATGATCTGGTAAGAAATAACAAGCAATGTAAAATTACAGATTTTTTAAAAAGGGAAGAAGATGTAAGAACTTAAAAAAAAGAAAAACGTTCTGAAAGAAAGTCAAGGTGATATCATTCCACCGAAAAAACGTTCTCGGTTGAAATTAATTGAGCAATGACGACGAAGAAATAAATTAAATTAAGGTTGCGTTAAATTATAGGATAATATTTTTTGTTCTGTATTGTTCATACATTTATATTGTTAATAAAAATTAAGTTGTTTATTTAAAAAAAAAAATATTTGTTTTTAAAAAATGTTCCGAACGTAACTCTCCTTTTTGCATTGGCTCTGGGTCTCAAACAACACGGTTTC